GTGCTTTGAAGTTTTTGTTTGCTGTACCCAACATATGGGCCCACTCAGAGTCAATTTTCTTTGATTTCTTTTTTTCCTGGGCATGGGTCACAGTTTCCTGTTTCTTTGCATGTCTTGTAATTTTTGGTTGAAAACTGGACAATTAAGATAATATGTTGTGGCAACTCCTGATTCTGATGTGTGTTTCTGAGTTCTTGTTTGTTTGTTTTAGTAAATTGCCTGGATTTGAACTGCAGAATCTGTCTTCCCTGTGGTGTGTGGCTTCTGATGTCTTTACTCAGTTTTTTATTCTTATTTTAATTTTTAGCCTGGCCTCCCAGGGGTTTGCCCCTGTGTCTGCATGGCCCATAAGCCTTCCACTTTCTGCCAGTGGATCTGTGTGTGGGTTGGGAAGCACAGTCAAAGATGCAGCCAGTTCTCCAGTCTCTCCTGGCTTTTACTTTTTTCCACTTTCTCTTGGGTCTCCCCAGGCATAGGCATAGTTTTCCAGTTGGCCAGGAAAATGTGGGGAGCCTTAGTCCCTCTGTGGCTTTCTCCTTTCTAGAATCTTCCCTTTAAATTTCTGGCTGGTCCACTGCTCACCCTAGCTAAGTCTACAACCTCAGGCTAACAAAGGTGAGGATTTTCCCCCTTCAATTTTCTACTCTCTCACCACATTTAGCTTATAAAGGCACAGGTTTTTTCCCCCTGCTCCAAATCAAGTTTGCCCTCTCTGGTAGAAAAATTGCTGGTTTCTGACCAGCTCCATGCTGGTAAGAACTGGGGTGGGGATGGGAGCAGCCCAGACAAGAAGGCCACAGACTCTCACTATTCTTACCCTCAGCTCCAGCAGTTTTTGAAAAATAAACACTTCTCAACTCGTCTCCATTTGGTAAGTTTCTAGAGCCCTGAGTGATTGTTTTTGAGGATTTTGTCGAGTTGTTTACTTATTTCTTGTAGAAAGGATTCACCGACCTCTTCACATTGCCATAGCTGAAAGTCTCTCTAGTTCATTCTTTCTGGAGAATGATCTTTCAAGATGTAGCAAGAAATATAAAACTGTTTAATTGCCCTGACTTAGTAAATCTATTTGGAGGAACTGTCTATCAAGGAAACAACCCAAAACCAAACAACAAACCATAAAACGTGTACAAGATTGTCACAGCTGCATTGTTTGTGCTAATGACAAATTAGAAATAACTTAAATGTGTACCATTTGGAAAGTGGTTAAGCAAATTGTAGTATTAACATCATAAAATACTACCTAGACTTGAAGCATGATCTCATGTGGACTGAATCGATGCACATTCCTGGTTCGTACATTCTAATTAGAACTATGTTTATTTAGTCTGATAACGGTATGGTATGCATTTTCAGAGATGATTTAATATTTATTTTAAGTAAGTTCTATATTTTCTAATTTCTAGATTTTAAAAGGCAATTTAAGATTATGCATTATGTTTATTATATTTGATATTTTTAACATGTCAGATGCATGGCTTTATTTCCCTGTTTGTTTTGTGACTGAGGCTTGGTAAAGCTGCCTTCCTGGTTATTACTCTGGCATTCCTAACATGAGGAACTGTCCCCTTTCACCACCAGTCTGTAAGACTTGCTTCTCCCAGTGAAATCCTAGATAAGAGAAAAAAAGTCTTAGCCACTTAGGAAGGATTTTGGAACCAGAATTCCAAATTCAGAATTCTATTCAGAATTCAGAATTTTGACCAGTTGTCTGTATTGTCATACCTATTCAAAGTCATCGAGCATCCTTTCGTGAGTTCTCCCTTATGTCTCGTGTATGAAACTGCATTGTGCCTGCCTGGAGGACCCACCCTTCCTACTACTTCGCCCTGAGTTCCTCAGAAAACACCCACACGCACACAATTCCCTTAGGTACAGTGTAATTGAGGTTGTACAAGGTCAAGATCAAGTGTGAAAGGGTGAGCTTAACATGTGACAAATCTCAAAGAGGTAAAAATCTAAGTCCTTAACCAATAGTATTCCTTAATTACAAGGGGGGCAACTGTATTTCACTAAGCCTATGATTTAAAAAATGAATCATGCATTGGGCTTGTTAAAATTACACATTTAATTAATGGCAATCATAACAGTATTCCTTCTTTTAAAAAAAAGTAATAGCGCCATCAATTCAAGTCAATCATAAACATTGGCAGAGTTTATTTTAATCCACAATTCATAAGGAGAGCTTTATCGAGTACTTCCTATACACAAACTTATAAATGCCTAGATTTGGCATTTAGAGATATAAAAGATAGTCCTGGCCCTCTTTACGTATGGAGGTATGAAAGAGCACATGATGAAGGCACATATATGTTGAGAGGGTGAAGACTTCTCGGGGGCTAGGAGACTTTGTTCATACATTTAGTCACAGGTATGGAACATTTACTGCATTCCAGGCACTGTTCTAGGTGCTGGGGGAACATGCTGAATAGATGTGGACGGTCTCTGCTGTCACTGAGCTTGCATTCTAGTAGGGGAAGACACATAATAAACAAGCAAACAAATGTATACTGTAATGTCAGTAAGTGATAAGCACAATGAAGACAAATAGAGTGGGTAATGGGATAGAGAGAGACAGGGGAGTGGCTGCTATTTCAGATAGGTTTGGCAGAAAAGATACCTCTGAGAAGGGGCTATTTTAGTGGAGAACTGACTTGGATAAAGTAGTGAGCTATGCAGGCATGTCAGGGGAGAGTTCAGGCAGAGGCAATGGCGTGTATAGAGGTGCACGTGGGAAATGGGCTGGCAAATTGCAAGAACAGCAGAAGTGCAGCCGAGACTGCAGAGGAGTGGGCCCGAGGAGAGAGGTGGGAGATGAGTACGATGAGAAGAGTGGAGGCCAGTGCTGTGTAGGGCCATCCAGGCCACATGAATGTGATAGGGGACCATGGAAGATTCTAGCTTGGTGCTGCAATGATCAGATTCAGTCTTTAAGAAGATCACTGGATTTGTGAGGAATGGGTTGTATAGAAGCAAGAAAGGGAACTGAGGCCAGTTTGGAGGTATATTAATTAGGGTACATGCAACTGCTATAACAAATAATCAAAAATGTAGTGGTTCGAACACAATAGAAATTTATTTCTTACTTGAACTAAGAGTCTAGGAAGGGTGTTCTAAATCAGTGGGAGGCTCTCCTCCATGCATTGATTCATGGATCCAGGCACCTTCCATTGTTATGACTTCCCTATGCCCTAGGACCTTGCCGTGTGCAAAGTCAAGAGTGAGCTACCATTCTCAGAGTTCAGGCACAGAGAAGAGGCACACCTACTCTCTCAAAGACTTTGGTGCAGAAGTGGCACTCACCACTTCTGTTCACCTTCCATTGGCAAGGACTTAGTCACTTGGCTACACATAGCTGCAAGAGATCCTGGGAAGTGTACTCCAGCTCTGGTCTCTGCTACAGGAGCACACTGCAGTAAATCAGATGAAAGATGAAAGCGACTTGAACTAGGATGGGAACAGTGGAGGTGGTAAGGAGTGGTCATATTCAGAATATATTTTGATGATAGAATCAACAGGATTTACTGATGAAATAGATGTAAGTATGAGAAAGAGTGGAGTCAAAGATGAATTTTAGATATTTGAGTGAATGGTGGGGTGGTGTCATTTACTCAGATGAAAATATTGGGAAGAATGGATTTTGGCTTTAGCTATGTTAAGATTTGAGGTGCTTGTTAACCATCTAAAGGGAGATATTGAGAAGACAACTAGATATTCAAAACTTCAGTTCAAGGGAGATATGTACTTGGGATCATCAGTGTGTGGATAGTATTTAAAGCTGTGGGACTAGATGAGATCTCCTAGGAGTGAGTACATATGGAAAAAAAAAAGAGTGCTGAGGACTGAATGCTGGGATACTCCAATATTTTGGGGTTAGAAGGAGGAGGCAAGCCAGCAAAAGGAACTGAGAAGAAGTGGCCAGTAAAATAGAAGGAAAATCAGGAGAGTGAGGCATCCTAGGAACCAGGAGAAGAAAATGTTTCAATAAGAAGGAAGGAAGGAATCATATGTATCAGGTGCTAACTGCAAGGTCAAGTAGGATGGGAACTGGGAGTTGACCATTGAATTTGAAAAGATACAACTTATTGGCAACCTTAGAAAGAGTAGTTTTAGTGGAATGGTATATACAATCTTATAAGTGGGTTGAGGAAATAATGGGAGGTAGAGACCACAGGCAATTCTTTTCAGGAATTTTTCTAAAAGAGAGACAAACAAATAGGGCAGAAAACGAGGGGATGACAAGAAGTTATTTATTTAGATGGGAGAAATTACAGTGTAGTTGTATTTGATAGGGCTGATTCAGTAGAGGATGGAAAAATTGATGATGCAAAAGCAAAGTTTTTGAGTGGGACACAGGTAGAGGGATGGGCCTTCGGTAGGAGCTGGGGCTGTTCATCCACTGTAAAAGGAGGGAAGGCAGGAGAGGGTACAGATGCAAGTTGTAGATTTGGTGTAGATGTAGCTTGGTAGATTTGGTGATGAGAGGATAAGAAAGCTGTCTTTTGAGAGGAGATGTAGTTTTGTTACATCGGGGAGAAAGAGAATGAGTTGACTAGGTATAAGATCACCGAGGAGCGCTGAAGTGTGGAAGAGGATGATATGTGCAAGGGAGCACAGATAGTCTTGGACCATGGAATCTAAGCTAGCTAAGAGGTAAAAGGGAGTGAAAACAGGAAGTAGGTGATGGAAAGCAAAAACATACTAGGTCGAATTGACTGAAGGTCTCTCTGTGGACTATGAATAGCTGCAGTGGGGGAGAGCAGAGCAAATGAGAAAAAAAAGGAGGTGTTGGGCTGAGAGGAAATTAGAATCATGATTTCGGAGGTGGAAGATTACTGGTAAAGACAAGCCTCAAGTGTAGCCAAAGGAGTTAATGGTTGAGGTGAGTTGTCTTTTAGGCTGAGTTACAAAATTAGAGAAGAGGAGCTAATAGGTATTTGCTCATAAAAATAGAAGAGGTAAATTTGTAACCAAGGATTTGGCTCATTTTTTTTTTTTAGATTTCTTCTTGAAGTCCAGGTTCCAGGAACAAGATGTCCAAGGGAGACCGACTTCTTTCTACACTCGCATGTGCAACCCCTGGGTCTCCCTGTTGGGGGTGAGTGACTTCATTTTGATCTCAGTTGTCCTTGAGGCATAATTCAGGTGTGTGATCTCTGGGTGGAGGGGGTTGGGGGGGAGGAAAGAGTCTTAATTAGGAGCAAGGTGATTTAATTGACTATTATATTAGAATTTAGTTGAGACTACATATGGCAAGATTACATTTAATGAACCACTTATTTTAATCAATGATTTACTTTTAAAATAATCATTTCTGATAACCTCTGGGTCACCAGATTTCTGGGTACACCAAATTAGCGTAATTTCACTCATTTTTTTCTTATAGGGAGAAGTGGGACAAGGAGGTAGGATAGAATGTCTATTTATTGATAGTTTTGGCTAGAGAGTGCTTTCAGGAGTGTGTCTTCTCAAAAGCCTGCTTCAGTGTGGTTTTTTGAATTGTGAGTGAACTTCGGTTATTCAGACTTTTATGGTGATCAGAGGTGGATGAGAGGGACTCTGATTCCTTAAGGCCCCCCCTTTGTGGCTTGCTTACTGTGGGACACACCATCGGGTGACTTGCCCTTCCTGCTCTGTTTCCACAGGCAGTTGGGTCCCTTCTCATCATGTTTGTGATCCAGTGGGTCTATACCCTGGTTAACATGGGTGTTGCTGCCATTGTGTATTTCTACATTGGTCGGACCAGTCCAGGGCTTCATCTTGGTAAGCAGCCGAGCCATTCTGCCACCACCTCCCATCTTCTCTTTTAGCATTCATTGAAAAAAATGTGTCGTAAACGCCTATCAAATGCCAATGCGCTGACTCAGATGTGAATCCCATTTTCAAGTAGCTTACAGTCTAGGAGGAAAAATATGATGCACATAAATGACAACAAATAAAAAATAACAACTTACTATGAGGTTTATAAGACATGGGGAAGTAAAATGGGTGGTAACAATAGTGCAGCGGCCGGGAGGGAAGAAATGGAAATAGGCTGTTGTAAGTTTCTGATACTGTATGTGAAGTACTATGTATCACTTAAAGGTAGACTGGGATAAGTTAAAAATTGTTTTGCTGAGTGAAAGAAACCAGACGAAAAGAGTTCATAGTGTATTATTTCATACGTATATGTAATAATTGAAAATGCAAACTAATCTATCATGACAGTAGATCAGCGGTTGCCCTTGGATGGGAGGCAGGGGTGTGGATGCCTGGGGGGGAGATCTCATGAAGTGGCTTGAGGGAACTTTTGGAGATGATGGATATGTTCATTATCTTGCTTGTTGTGATGGTTTCACAGTGTATACCTGTGTCAACACTTACCAAACTGTACACTTTAAATGCATGCAGTTTGGTCTAAAAATATACCCTGGGTTTGTTTTAATCAGCTATGGTAAGACATACACACACAAAATGGTTCTCATGAAGGGAGAAATTTATACTCACAGATCTCTAGAAACAGGAGGCACAGCATGCCGTGCAGGACCACATGGGGAAGGACGAGAGTTGGTCAGGAGGCAGAGGAGGAAGAGGGGAGAACGGGGCCCCGGGCCTTTATTGGGGTTTTAATGGGAAGGAATGGGTGAGAGAGGGCAGGTAACTGAGCAAGCTTAGAATTGGATAGTTTGAACAATTTTGCCAGGCTCTGCACTATAGGGGTGGTCTCTAGTTGTTGGGTGCCCGGCCCTGGAGCAATTTAGGCAGGGGAGGATTGGCATGGTGTGCTAGAGTTTGATAAAGGAGGTGGTCGGGGGCGTGGGCTCTGGACTGGCTGGTGCTCACAGGGGAGTTATTTGCTATCTCTAGGAAGTACCACCTCCAGAATCAAGGCCCCAAATGCTAGAGCATCAAGAATACAGAAAGTAAGAAAATATAGTCAGTACTCTGTTATTGCATGTCAGTTACTCCTCAGTAATAAAGGTCTTTAAAAAATACATTTGAGGGGCCAGCCCAATGGCATAGCAGTTAAGTTCACACGCTACACTTTGGCAGCCTGAGGCTCCCAGGTGTGGACCCACACACCACTTATCAAGTCACACTGTGGCAGGCGTCCCACATATAAAATAGAGTAAGATGGGCACAGATGTTAGCTCAGGGCTAATCTTCCTAAGGAAAAAAAAATACATTTGAGAGCCAGCCCCAGTGGCCTAGCAGTTAAGTTCAACACACTCTGCTTAGGCAGCCCAGGTTCGGTTCCTGGGTGCAGACCTACACTGCTCTGTTAGTGGCCATGCTGTGCTGGCAGCCTACATACTAAAAAATAGAGGAAGATTGGCACGGATGTTAACTCAGGGTGAATCTTACTCAGCAAAACAACAACAACAACAACAAAAAACATTTTGAGAGCCCTTTTCAACAAAATTCTACGATGCCCCAACTTAAAATGAAGCAATTGGTTTCAAGTCCTAAGTAAATCGGATGAACCCTAACAATCCAGGCAAACTGAAAATAAAGTCTTCAGAATTAGAATACTCTGATGTGTATTTTTGAAAGAAATGCACTTTAAACACTTTAAATCACACGTACATTAAAAATAATGCTTTAGGGGGCTGGCCCGGTGGTGCAGCGGTTAAGTTCGCACGTTCTGCTTCTCGGCGGCCTGGGGTTCATCAGTTCTGATCCCAGGTGCAGACATAGCACCACTTGGCAAGCCATGCTGTGGTAGGTGTCCCACATATAAAGTAGAGGAAGATGGGCATGGATGTTAGCTCAGGGCCAGTCTTCCTCAGCAAAAAGAGGAGGATTGGCAGCAGATGTTAGCTCAGGCTGATCTTTCTCAAAATAAATAATGCGTTAGAAAAAGTCATGCTAAGAAGAGGTCCTCATATCAGCTAATTTGTGTGTGCATATTTGAGGAAGATTGGCCCTGAACTAACATCTGTGCCAGTCTTCCTCTATTTTGTTTGTGGGATGTCACCACAGCATGGCTGATGAGCCATGTGTAGGTCTGCACCCAGGATCTGAACCCTGGAACCCTGGGCCACCAAGGGTTCACGGAGTGTGCGAACTTAAGCACTACACCACCAGGCCGGCTCCCCATATCAGATAATTAATGGATAGAATATATTTTAATTAACATAATGATTACATCACTAATCACTGATGTAATCTGAATTTCTTAGGAGTTAGTTTGATGTTAAAAAATTTTAATATTTCCCAGAAATCTATTCACAGGAAAGTATGAAATCAAATTTCAGGCCAAACTTCATCTAAAATTTAGGTAATTTAGAATCTTTGTTGTTGTTAGTGCCTTTGAGGCACTTCCGACTCCTAGCGACGCTGTGTCCAGCAGAGCGGAACCCTACCCCGCCTTTGTCACCATCTGCTCATCTTCCGGCACTCTATCAACCAACACTCCACTGCTGTTCATAGGGTTTTCATGGCCAGTTTTCTGGACGTGTGTGGCCAGGTCCTTCTCCCTAGTCTGTCTAGTCTGAAAGCTCTGCTGAAACCTGTCCACCTTGGTGACCCCACTGACGTTTGAAATACCGGTGGCACAGCAACAGCAGCCACCACAGTGTAACAACCAAGAGACAGGTGCTGTGGTTCCCTAACCAGAATACGAACCTGCGTCACAATGGTGAGAAGGCCGACTCTTAACCGCTTGACCACCAGGGTGATTTAGAATCTAAGTGATCACAAATAAGTAGGGTCAGTTAATAAAATGTTTGTGTTTATTTTCTTCCTTTTGAGAATCTCAAAAGACATTAGGAATCTCCTCTTTGTGACTGCAAGTTTTAATGCGAATCTAAAATTTATCCTTCCTTTAACCATAAGAATCCTAAGTGAGACTGAGTAAATACATGTTATCAGTTACATATGTTGACGTTAGCCAAGATTCTAACACAAACCTCTGAAAACAATGCTAACTTCCTGATCATACATTGAACATTATCTAATTAACCAATTTTCAACCCACCATTTACATATATACATATATTTGGTAGAATGAGTATGCATAATTTGGAAATGCATTTTATAAAGTTACATTTAATTCGGTTTCCTGAAGTTATATATAATTTATTGTGTGTTTTTTAAAAGCCACACCAAAAGAGATGGGTTTTTTTTTAAAAAAAGTTGATAAACCCTCTTCTGATTGTGGTGTCTGTTTGGCCAGGATCAGCATAGTCTCACTTCACACTTCAGCTCTAGCCCTTCTGCATGTTGAGCGCTGGGATGCACTTAACAAGTGCCGGGTCCTGTGCGTGTTGTGCTGTGAGCGTCACGAGGATGGAAAAGACGCGTTTCCTGTCCTCAAAGAGAGTATGGTCGCGTAGGGGATTTTATAGCATGTATTTAACACATATTAGTATGAATCTAAGAAAAAAGTATGATTAAAATTTTTTTTAATTCCCCAAACTGAAGTTAGCAAGTCTTCTGCTTTTTTCTCTATAGCACTATATTCAGTTTCTGCAATTTTGGAGTTTAGAAATAAATTTTTGGAAACTACATACAAGTATGAAGTCCTTAGCAGGCCACTGTCAGAGAGTGTTATAATGGATGTTGTTTGGTTAGACTGAAAAAGGAAAGAAACCCATTGGGCTAATTCTGTGTGTGTGTCAGGAGGTGTATATCCACCCTATTAAAACTGAGTTTCTAAATGCGTACGTAGAGCCTTCATCAATATTTATGTATATGTCTTCCCTGCAGGATCAGCCTCCGGCTTCAGCTTTTTCAGATGGATGAGGTCTCTTCTGATCCCTTCCTGCAGGTCTGTGCCAATCTGGGGCCGGGACCGGGGCGAATGAGTGCCCCGCAGCCCTGGGAGTGCTAAGGGGTGTCCCATTCCTAGCTGGACTTGGTGAATTGTGTGGGAAGCTGACAACTGAGAACCTCGAGGAGACTCAGACACTCCTGCTCACTGCCCTGTACCACCCAGCCCCCAGCCTCAGCAATTCAGAAGCTTCCTCTGGCCCATGTCCTCTTCGCTTCTTATCCTCAGGAATCATGAGCAGAAGCTTTATTTAGAATCTGATTGCTGGTGATAAGGGAACTACTCTCAGTGAGTTCACGGTCTAAGACACACAAGCATCACTGCATAATCGTACACAAGACTAAGGCCAAAAGGACTCCTATTCTTCCATCTCAAGTCAGAGGTAGTTGACATGACTGTATTGGCGAAACTGCAGAGGCCAAGACCAGAAAGAGAGGAGAGATCCTGGAGGATTTCTGTGGGACCTCCATGTTCAAATACACAAGGAGAGGGAAGAACACACTTTCCTGAGACACAGGAGAAGGCCTCAGAGGGAACGTAAGAGTTCATGAGTGCCGCAATCTCTTTCCTGCTCCGCCACCCTTCCAGTGCCAGTCCTTCCTCCCCTTTGAAGGCCTCAGGACTCCGAGGAGTTACGTCCCTCCCCTTTCAATATCAGTGAGGAGCCAAAGCTGCAGGCTGGGAAACGCCAGGCAGAACCCAAGCAAGTGTTTATTTGGTTTCATCTTGTTGGTTTGTTTTTGAAACTCTAGATGTCTGGGTTGCACTTGCCAATCTTTCCACCTCCCATGCCCAGACATTGCTCATGGACTAGGGGACCCTTTCCCCTGATCCCAGATGGAAGTTCAATGTATTTTTTTTCCATTTTTTTCTTATGGTAAAATACTCATAATATAAAATTTACCATCTTAACCATTTGTAAGTGTGCAGTTCAGTGGTATTAGGTACATTCATATCGTTGTGCAACTGTCACTGCCATGCACCTCCAGAACTCTTCATCTTGCAAAACAGAAACTATATCCCCATTAAACAATAACTCCCCATTCCTCCCTCCCAAGAATCTTTTTTAAGACAGCTCTTTATAAGCACCAGTCTGTTCAAGTTGGCACAAGAAATGAAACCTTGGTGCTAGAGCCTGGGATGATGAAGACAAAGGAGCGGGTGCTATGAAAACCAACCAGGAGAGGGCTGAGGGGAGGCTGGGGGGGGAGCACTCCCTGCCATCTGCTTGGAAGCTGGGCTGAACGGCCTGTTTCGAGCTGTAGGAGGGATGGGGTCACCTTTCTGCCTCTCTTCCAGTCTGAGGCACCAGGTTGGGTGACTCAGGTCACAACACGCCTGCACTGGTCTCTTTGCTCCTACCACATAATCTTGAGGAAGAGTTGAGTTTAAGTGGAATAGATTCTGTGTAGAATTTGCCTACAGATTCTGGAGCTGCAAATGGTATGTGGTTGAGAATTTTTGGCCTTGCCTGACGTACAGGAATATTTTTAGGCATTTCTGGTTTCAAAGCCTACAAATGGCCATGGGAGATCGCTGCTCCTTATGGTGCACTTTGAATTCCTGGAATTTCACCTCGGAGGTCACTGTGGCGCTATGTAGAAAGAAGAATGTATTAGGAAGAGAATTATTCTTAGGAAAGGATAGTGCTTTGGTTGAAATAGAACCCAGTCCACGCTATTCATAGCTGTGTGGGCTCGTGAAGTGGGTGGTGGATGCCTCAGCTAACTCTCAACCCCAGACTTGCTGGCCTCACCTTGCTGACTCACCATGGCCGTTGACGGGTGTTTTGTGGTGGTTATTCAGGAGGGTTAAAGGACCAAGAGATGATGACTCCTGTTAGAGTAGAAATTGGTAGCTGCATTTTCTATTTCGTAGTTTTGAGTTTTTTTCCACCCCTAGCCCCAGATGCTCTTCAAAACCAAAGACAAATAATATTTTGTGTTGGGGCAATGAAATTTGGCTATGTTACTTCCTCTGTTCCACTTACGGTTCCCCAATTATGTGAAATTAAGCCTGACCCTCAGAAGACCTTCTTTCCCGAAGTCCCAGCAACCGCCCAGGTGATAATTCTTAGGCCATTTTAGACTAGACAGTGAAGTATATTATTTCCATGAACTCAGAAGAACGCAGTGGTTTCACCTTAAAGCATTAATGAAAAAAGTGCATTCGAAAAAACACTTATGTGTTGACTGGTATGGCATTTTTGTCACTTCCTAATCTTACTTCTTGAAGATTCAATCTTTACAGAAGTTAATTCGTTTCCCAGAAAACCTCAACCTATCTAATTTAGCTATGTTCTCATCAAGCAGCTGCAAGGCCTTAGTCATGTGACCCTGAATTTCTGTAACAGGACGTTTTTCCAGAGTCAGTTGAAACTTTCTGCTTCAGTTCCACAGATTTATAACATTAGATGTCTAATGTTTCTTTCTTTTTTTTTTTTTTTAAAGATTGGCACCTGAGGGGCCGGCCTGGTGGCGCAGTGGTTAAGTTCACACGTTCCACTTCGGCGACCCGGGTTCGCCGGTTGCGAACTTGGTAGCACTTGGTCTTTCCTTCTGACCATCCTTTGTGTTTCTCTCACCACAGGAGCTTGCGATGCCCCCAAGAGCAGATAATTTTGGCGCCGTCCCTAGCTAGGGTTGACATGGAGATGACTCAGCTCACCCAGGAGAATGCAGACTTTGCCACCCGGGATCGCTACCACCACTCCTCCCTTGTGAGTCGGGAGCAGCTGATGCCTGAGTATTAGAGTACTGAGCCCTCAGTACGAGGCAGCCCTAGGACCCTCTTCTCTTGGAGCTGCCGAGTGTACAGTGGACCCAAATCCCAGAACTTTTGTGGAGCTGGTTATCCCCGGTAAGAAGCTCAAAGATCTGTCCTCCCACTGCCATTTTGGACCATGGAAATCTGCATTTGTGTCTGCAGTACCACGTGTAACCAGGGTAACGGCTGAAGAGCTCCACGTGGACACCAACACTTGCAGGTGTGGAGAACCGGACCAGATTGCTTGTTCTGAGGGCCACAATAAATAGTTATTTTAAATGTTATTTTATTGTTTATTTTTTGAATAAATAATATGCTCCCAAATCCCAAAGTATAATCATATATATAGTGAAAAATCTCCCTCCCATTCTTATTCCCCATCTCTTCAGTTCCCGTCTCCTGCCCCAGAGGTAACCACTGTCCTTATATATACTTCCAGCATCTCTTTGTGGAATGCAAGTAAATAGGAATGTGGATTATTATTACTCCCTTTTTATACACAAAAGGTAGTATATTGTACATGTGTTCTGCACTTTGCTTTTCCTCTTAGCTTGGAGGCATTTCCATATCAATACATACACAGTTTCCTCATTATTTCTCATTGTATGAGTGTGCTATAATTTATTTCATCAGTTCCACAATGCTGGCATTTGGATGGTTTCCAGTCTTTTGCTATTACAATCAGTTCTGCAGTGAATAATCTTGTACATATGTCCAAGCATAAAGTTATATCTGTAGGATAAATTCCCCTAAATGGAATCGCAAGATCAAAGGGTACATGCATTTGTAAGCTATTATTGTTTAGTGCAAGTCTTTCTAATGAGAAACTTAAATAACCATGAATTACCTAGCGGTGACTCATGTTCTCAAAGCATTTGTGGTCCCCAGCTCTCTGAGCACCTTTGCAGCTGTTTTGCGGTATGAACGCCTGAGGGGACAGGATGATTTTGGTTCCTCTATGAGCTCAGTGTGACATTCATCACGAGTGGCCAGTCCTGGGGGCCATGGCAGTGGCTTCCCCCGGATAAGGTCAGCCCGTGGCCCAGAGTCAGTGGTTTTACCACTGAGCCATGGGGGACATCCTATTGGGTCAGTTCTGACCTCCGTCTTCTGTTGTGTGGATTCTCAGAAGTCAGGCTGCTGAGAACCACCTGGGAGGCTTGTTAAAAGTGCAGATTTCTACAGCTCACGCGCAGACTTTTTATTCGGTGGGTTTGGGGGAGAGTCCTGGACTTCCCATTTTTAATGAGACGAGTGCCTCAGGTGATTCGGCGTGGGAGACCCTTGGACCCCATTTGGAGAAACACTGACCTGTTGGATGGAACGGGCTTACAGCGAACCGGGGGGTGGGACGGTCATGAGGGGCCAGTTGGCTCTTAGCGTCTCTCCTAGAAAATGAGATCTAGTTTATGATTACTCTTCACAATGAGATCTAGTTTATTAGTACTGTTTATGTACTGTTTTGGTCAAATACCAGACTTCGGAACATCATTAGAAATGACTTAAAGAAAGCAAACTGAGTGAACAGTAGTCCTGTGGGAAAGAGAAACGTTGTTAAAGATGGACTGTGTTCCTGAAGGCTTGAGTTGGTGATCTCTGAGGACGCTTGTTAAGAAGAAGCTGCACTAGGTTCCTGTGGCTGATGTAACAAATAACACAAACCAAGTAGTTTAGAAACAACAGAAATTTATTCTCCCACAGTTCTGGAGGCCAGAGGTCCAAAATCAGTATCACTGAGCTGAAATCAAGGTGTTAGCAGGGCCATGCTCCCCTCCAGGGGAGCTCTCTCCCTGGGGGAGAATCCCATCCTTGCCTCTTCCAGCTTCCGGTGGCTGCTAGCATTCTTTTACTTGTGGCCACATCACTCCCATCCTCAAGGCCCCTGGTCACATGGCCTTCTTCTCTGTGTGTGAAGTCAGTCTCTGCCCCCGTCTTATAAGGATACACGTGATTGCATTTAGGGTCCCCCAGATAATCCAGGATTGTCTCCTCATCTCAAGAGCCTTGACTAATCACACCTGCAAAGGCTGTGCCAAATGAGGTAACATTCACAGGTCCCAAAGATCGGGATGTAGATACCTCGTGGGGCACCATTTTTTGGTCTACCACAGAAGCCATTGCTAATTCTGCTTTTATGAATTCTGGATTACAAGCTAAAAAAGCAACTCCTCTGAAAAACGTGGTGCTGAGTTTGAAAACCATACCTAGCAGAAGATTCCAGTATCCAGGGTGAGAACTTCCCCAGCATGATTAATTTTATGGAAATGAGTATGAGAAGGATGGGGTATGATAAAGAATTCCACCATTCTACTTGGTCCTGGGGATCCCCAAACGAAGAGCTCCCAGTCTAGTGTGGGAGGCAGGTGCTAAATGTGCTGAGCCTTTAATTAGGTCCAAAAATCCTATATTTAACCAAAACTATTTTGTGTAATAAAAATAGTAATCAGTAAAGCAGTAATTAGGTCTTAGTCGGGGACTCCCAGAAAGCAGAAGTTTATGTGCTGCTGCTTTCCCGGGGGTGCATCCAGGAGGCAGGAATGAGAGAAAAGAGGAGTGGAGCAGGGAAGGAGGCATGTCATTGAGTTAGTGACCCCTCAGTGTCATGTACTCTGTAGCTTAATCTCGAGGGACCCTACTAAGAGACGATAGGAACACTTGTGTCTCAAGACCCCCTTGGAGTGGGAGGAACGGATGACAATTCATCCACTGGTTCCTGTTTCCCAGAGTCAAAGGTCAGCCATGAGGGGTGTTACCCTCCCTGCACTTGTGATTGGCACTTGCGTGAGTACCTAGTGAGCTCTGCAGGGAGCGGCTACTCTGTGGGCACGAGGCGCCATTGGGTTTGTCTGCATGAAATTGGCTGGAGCCCAGCAGAATTGGTTGCTGCAGTGGTAGCTGAGATGGAACAAGTGTCCTTGGCCCCAGAGATGGGTGGGGCAGAGAGGCTCTGAAGTGGTGTCATAGAGGTGTCATATACAGCCCATATATTGACAAAGGCCAGTAGTAAGTACAGGTTGTCAGAAAGATGAGACACAGATATCACTAGATCATTTAGATAGAGTTTACTTATCTAAAGGATGCTCAAAAAAGTCAGCACAGTCAGGATATATGGCAGTGAGACTAGCAACCTTTGCTAAAATGGACTGAGGGGCAGATTCCTGGCCTAAAGCTTTTACCAAGGAGTGCACAGTGGTAGGTGAGAATGTCTGAATGATTTAGAGTCGTATCAGACCTTCTGGGACCATGAATGTCCCCCTTCGGGCCATGCTATCAATTTATCCATCCAATGATCCATCCATTCACCCATCCATCTGTCTACCTCCCCACTCACCCACTCACCCATCCATTCACCCACCCATTCATGGCTGGAACAACTTTACCCGTGCCTGAGACCATCTCACCTGAGCCAGGTACACCTCACCAATCTCAAAGCTTTATAATGTAAAAATATGATCACAGGCCATTCAGGCAGAAATGAACTCAGCCACCATCTTCAAACTTTTAGAGTCAGTACAACCCAATTCTTGAGCATTCTTGAACTTGGGGCTGGTACCCAGAACAGGGGTCATTTTCTCAGATGTTTCTGAGAGTCATGCTAACAAGTCCTCCAACCTACACAAGAGGTGCATACTGCACAAACAATTATAAATCATTGTGGAAGTTTGAGGTTCAGGATTCCATCAGCCTCCCCTCCAGGTTTCTGACTAAGGGAGTCTATTGAAGGATGGGAAACAGTGTGCCAGTTTATGTATTACTACCTGGACAAGGGTGCAGGAGCTGCAGTAGAGAATGCAGCTGAGGTCAGAAGGTTGAAGCAAGGCCTGTAGTGTCTAACCTTCTTCCTCTTGAGTCTAAGAATCCACTTCCAAAGACCCTTGGAAGAGGAGCTGGAATCAAGAGGGGGAATGACCAGTTGGTCTCATCACCCACTAATGCGTGGGCAGAGATCATAAGGTGACCACACATTACCTTCCAACTCCAGGCCCTGCCCACCAATGAAACCTCGTCCCACCTCTGACCAGTCAGATTGGCCTCCCCCTCCCATGGGGAGGAGCACATGTGGGATGACCAGGTGGGGTGGGGGCAGAAGTGTTCTCTCTTGGGTGGTAGCTCCATCCTCTCCATGGGCAGAGGAGGACAGTAAGGAGAGCTGAAGGGACCCCAGTAGCAGTAAAAGCAGTGACAGAGGCAAATGCGGGGTCTGTGGAAGGGCAGAGGAGCCCTAAGCCACTCTGACAACAGTCAGGGAAGGCTCCTTGGAGGAGGAGATATCTGACCTGCATCCAAGCACTTAGAGGGCAGAGAGGAGGGGCAGGTCATTCCCTATAGAGGGGAGAGCATCATCAACAGCGTGTGGGGGCTGATGGGTAATTCAGGGTTTCAGGGGCGTAGGGGTGAGGCAGCACAAGGCAAGAGAAGCACTGGAAAGGCAGGCAGGGCCAGTCCTCACCACCTGGGCCTTGTACCCCACTGTGTGTGCTACAACAATGAGGAGGGAAGGCTGAAGAATGGTAATAAAAATCCATCCTCAACAGTCTGTAAGGCTTTATCAGAAGACCCTTGTAAGAATTAGCGAGCATGATCCAGGCTCAGCAACAATCCAGCTTCGGATCTACACTTTTTCTGATGCTTGTGTTGCTGTTTCTGTTCTCCTAAGCTGGAGAGGGGAGAGAGGACCAGTGCCGGCTTCCACTCCCGGGGTCGGAGCCCGTGGGCGGCCAGCGGAGCCAGGAGGGCTGCAGGGCCAGGGACCAGTCATCTGACGTTCACACAGCCCCTGCCGTGTGCTGAGCAGCAGCTGTACCGGCAGCTTGTGGGTGTGGGTTGTTGGGTGGGAGAATTGTGTGGAGACAAGAACAGAACACACAGTCCTGCTGTATTACTTTCCTGTTGCTGCTGTAACAAAGCACCACAAATCTAGTGGCTTAAAGCAACACAAATGCATTGTCTTACAGGTCAAGAGGTCAGAAGTCCGAAATGGGTATCACTAAGCTCAAACCAAGGCATCAGCAGGGCTGTACTCCTGGAGGCTCTCGGGGGGAATCTGTTTCCTTGCTTTTTCCAGCTTCTAGAGGCCACCTGCATTCCTTGGTGGTGGCCCCTTCCATCTTCCAAGCCAGCAATCAACAATCACATTTACTCCCACCTCTGCTTCTATCATCACATCTTCTCTAACTCTCCTCCCTCCCTCTCCTGCTTTTGAAAACCCATGTGATTAGATTGGGTCCACCCAGATAATCCAGCATAATCTCCCCATCTCAAGACCCTTAATTTAATCACATCTGCAAAGTTGCTTTTGCAGGATAAGTAACTATTCATAGGTT